TGGCTCCATTCTTCAAAGATCTCCTTTAATGTTTCTGATGTTATAATGTTTTGTGTCATTTTGTAATTCCCAGTATTAACCGACATCAGGAGCATGCTTGTATTTTTTTTTTCCTTCTGCTTGGAATCTTCAGTCCCCTCTAGTGTCATTTCTAAAATCAAAAAATGACTTATCTTTGTTATGACTCACAATAACCAGGATAGCCAAAATAAATCTGTTTCCTATGAGAAGCTATTTACTTTTCATAGTTAATTCCCAAATTCCTATAGTAAAAGTCAATATCCAAACAGACCTTTAATCCATTTATAACTTTCTTAGATCAAAATCTTATTTAGCTTTTTGCTGTTTATTTCAAATTCTTTAAGCTCTTAAGCTTATAATTAACTTTTCTTTTGATCAGGGTTGAAGATAAACTAACCCGATGACTTTTCAAACTTGTTGTTCTGAAGGTCTCTAATAGCTTTAAGATGGTTAATAGGCAATTTCCAAAAGTGATTAGAATCACTTAGTGATCCTTTAAAAGGCTCTGCTGTGGTTGTGAGCAAGATGGCTGATCCCTTTGTCTCCCGGCACTCAAATCTGCAGAAAACTGCTGTCCTACAGTCTTCTTTCGAGGAGCAGCTGTTCAGAACACATGTGGACAATCTCCCATCCTCTCCTTGTCCGGAGAGGTCCCAAGAAACCAGTCTATTCACTGGTTCTTCGGTCTTTGCCATGGTCGTCAGCTCCACTTTCACAGAGACATCTTCAGTTCGCTATACCGCCCCCAGAAGTCCCTGAACACAGATCTCAATGCTTAAAAATAAATATTTATGCTAATTAGAGGTATGGACAATATTTCAGATATGAATAGTTGTTTCATGTTCAAAATAATATATTACATTTAATAAATAAAAACAGGCTGCTTCAACTAATCTGGAAATATTTTGAACTCAAAGTTTCTGTTTCAAAGTCAAAACACTCCAAAAATTATTGAAGCAGCCCATAGAATAACAGCTTTATCTTGAAACATAGTGTTTTAAACTTGAACTGTTTTGTGTATAGCTAATGCAAGGTTTTCCAAAATTATAAGGCTTGCTTTGACTAATCTAGACCAAAGTTCCAGTTGGTTTTTAGCAACCATCAAGACTAGTTGCAAGGATGCAAGTATCCTGGAAAAGGATAATGTTGCTTGGCATCTTGAATAGGAGAATACTACATGCTACAATCTCTTTCTACTATTCCACCTGTTTTGTGGAAGGACTAGTGGCCCTACACCCAGCTGCTTTGGAAATTGAAACCAAGACACTTAACATTCAAAGAAAGACTCATATTTTCTTACTTAAACAATCTTCAGTTGGTTCTGAATTTGTTAGTCCAAGAAAGCTTTGAAGACTTGGCTATTCTCTCAGGTGTTGGGTCAGGATATTAGATGAACCCATCTTGGGAGGTGGAATATATGCTGATATACCCAAACTGTGCATTTGTTCTTTGTTGATTTTTGGCTGTTTTGTTGCAAGGATGGTGTACTTTTTCTTTTTACTGTTGTAGCTGACCAGAGTTGCATTTTTGCAAATTAAGCAGATATATAATTCCATAAATAAGTAAATAAAACTACTGCAAGGACTGCTGTTAAAAACAATTTATATATTTCAGTTCAATTAATGTATTGATCATTTCAGAGGCTTCTATTGGTGCAAAATTCAATGGTATGGCTAAAACCAGGTTCCAGAGGGAACAGCTGTACACCTTTCCAATTTGCTTCAGAGCCAAATTCAAAATGCTTCAAAATGCGAAAGTTGGATTCTGTCCAATTTGGAGTGGTTTTTTTCCCCCAAAGGACCTATTCTTATGCTTCAAGATCAATAGATGCTCCAACTCCCTTGGTTACAGATGTATAAACCTGGACTGTAGTAGATTGCAACAGACAAGATGAGAAACAACTGTATACAGGCAAGGGTTTTAGCAGTTAAAAGAAATGAAGGATCTGTCTATTTTGTCAAAATTTTCTGCCAGTATCAGGAATGGTTGTGAAACTCACTTACCTTACCTCCAAGATTGAAGTAAGCATGGTTTGTTAGATTGACTGGTGTAGTCTTACTAGTTTGAGCTCTGTAATTGATTGTTAACTCCCCATCCTTAAGCGTATATGATATCCACACTTTCAGCTCACCAGGGTATCCCTCTTCATCATCTGGACTTATTCTGAAAAAGCGGACACCATCTGGCAGGACTTCAGGGGACCAGATAGCCTAAAATACAATTTCAGTGCTGAGCTTAAAAAATGAATAAATCTACTTTGACTAGGCCAATCTTCAGATGCTGCTGAAATGTGTTGGAACTCCAACTTCTAGAATTCCCAGCCAGCAAGGAACTGTAGTCCTAACACAACTGAAGGCATCACATTGGGGAAAGCTATTGCATCTGTATACAGTAGACATCTGTGTGCAGACCTTGAAGGGGATCACTTATTCTAAATATAGGTTTTGAGATTTATGCTCAGTTGTTATCTGCTTCACACAATGGAATAGCCTCTAATACATGAAGTCTTCTCCCATCAGTGGGAAGCTTCTGAGCCAGTGGACAAATCCAGTTGGTAAAGAAGACAATTTTCTAAATGTAAGCTTTTAAAGAGATATAGAAGTCTACTAACTTATTGGGTCCTTTAAAAGTGACAAATTATAAAAGATAGAGATAATTTAATGCATTTTAATTAGCAGTCATTTTTAATATAAAACAATAGTGGGGTCCACTTTTTAATTATTACAAACTTTTGATTCAATCAGGTATTAACAAGGGAATCAAAAGGTACTAAAGTGACCTTAAAAATGTTAGTGAAGTTTGTTTTTAGTAAGAAAACAAAATAAAACAAAATCAGTTATATTACCAGATATGAAGGATCGTGTGATTAGAATACAGAGAAAAAAATTATCTGTGGGCTGGAGAGAGGGGGCAATACCAGACCTACTCGTAAGTAGTGCTCAGGATTTGATGAGAGAAATATATGTAGCCAAACCGACTGGGAATAGTGACTATAATGCAATAAAATTCAACATTCAGAGAAGCAATAACATACATAGCAAGTCCTACACAGTCATATTTGACTTCAAAATTGAGAAGGCTAGTGAAAAGGAAACCCAAAGGGAAGGCACAATGTATTCATAAAATTACAAAAATGGCCCCAAAATGAGACTGCATGGTTGAGCAGCACTGTAAAGGAAACTATGAGGCCCAAGGAAATACAATTTAGAAAGTAGAAGGCCTGTTCTAATGAAGAAAACAAAAAAGAAATATAAACTCTGGCAAAAGAAATGCAAAGAGACAGTCAGGGAGGCAAAAAGAACATTTGAGGAGCATATTGCCAAAACCATGAAGACAAATAATAAAAGATTCTTCAAATACATTAGAATCAGAAAGACCCAGGGAGGCTGCTGGTCCCTTGGATGAAGGAGGAGTCAAATGTGTGCTAAGAGGAGAAAAGAAAGTTGCAGAGAAGCTGAATGAAGTCTTTGCTTTCGTCTTCACAGAAGAAAAAATAGGGCAGATTCCTGAACTTGAGCCCGCATTCTCAGGAAGGGAACTAGATGAACTGAGCAATATAGTGGTAAAAGAGAAGAAGTGGTAGGCCTTATTGACAAACTGAATATCAACAAATCACCAGACCCTGATGGCATCCACCCAAGGGCTATTAAGGTGCTTGAAGCTGAGATTATGGATCTCCTAAGTAATATAGGCAACATGTCTATACATTCAGACTCTGCAGTTGAGGACTGGAAAGTGGCCAACATAACTCCAATTTTTAAGAAGGGAGATCCAGGGAATTATAGGCATGTCAGCTTAACATCTGCTCTGGGGAAAATAGCGGACATTGCTATGAAAGATAAAATTACCAGACATTTGGAGACACATGCCTTGCTCAAGGATATCCAACATGGCTTCGGTAAGGGAAGGTCCCTGTCTAATTAATCTATTAGTTTTTTTGAGGGTGTTAATAAACATGTGGATAAGGGCAAGCCAGTAGACATCATCTACTTAGATTTTCAAAAAGCCTTTGATAAAGTCCACTATCAAAGACTTCTCAATAAACTTAACAGCTTTGGAATAAAAGTGCATGTACTTTTCCCAATAAGCAACTGGCTAAAGAATAGAAAACAGAGTAGGAGTAAATGGGTATACTGGATTCCTTCCTGAGTCCTGGAAGATTTCACCCCACAATTTAGGTGGGCTTAAATTTTCCCATTCCCTTCTCTTCCCCATAGATAGCTGCTACTCTTGGACAGATTCTAAGAACAAAAGCCTCCCCTGCTATTCAATCATAAAGGGAGCAGAGTCACGTTTGCTCAGGTTTTTAGCCGACTGGCCTTCATAAACTTCATTACTAGATGTAGAAGGGATTAGCCTATGTGTCAGTTTAATGTGCATTTTAATCTAACAGGGATCTGTAGAAACATGCATTGCTAGAGTTGCCTGTATGCACTGGCATCTGGCATCAGTATACACTGAAAACCTGACACCATTACCAACAATGTGCTGGCTAACAAAGTGAGATCCAGCTTGACTATAATTCTACACAATAAAGACAAATAAAATAGTACCATCTTTGTCTAATTTATCACTAGCAGATCACTAGCAGATCTACCTTGTCAAACCCTTTGACTCCTCCATGCAAACTGTTGGGTCCATCATTGATAGCCAGCTGGTACTCATGTCCTTCCACTACAAATTTCCCTTTGGCAATTCTGTTAGCAACCCGTCCAATAATAGCTCCAAAATAGGGATGCTTGTTGATATATCCTAAGAAAGAGAAGAAGAGAGAGCAACAGGATAATATAGTTATGTCATTTACATTTTAGAATTTAGTGTAAAGCTAGCCAGATTTGAAAACCTACTGAGAGCATTCTTTCCTACATGTGTGTCACCCAATAAATCCTAATTGAGCAATATCTTATGACAGAAGGGGCTCTTTTATGAAGGGTTCTCTGTTCATTTCATTGGAAGTGGCAATGTCACATCTGCAAAGAGCGGTGTGCACAGAACTTCTACACTGAATACCTATTGGGTTGCATACTCCGTGGTAACATGGTACAGTGTTGAGTTCAGATCCACACACTTGGGCCAGTCACTCTTTTCCAGCTTAATTTACCACCCCTCTAGTTAAAAAAAAAAAAAAAAATACCGCAAGCATAGAAGTGCATGTTTTTGACAAATGGCAGTCATATATATGATCCTGAGTCAAAGAAATGACAAGACAAAAATATAAATTATACAAAAAGCACTTGTTATTTTCATTTACCCAAGTTTGTTTTTAAGTTTTTTGGGTTTTTTTTGTTTTTTTATGGTGGTTCTCTTCCTTTCTCCAGGGCTGGTTCTAGCTGGTGTTGGTTGATGGAGAGAGATTTCTCCCTAGGCCCCTTCTTTGTAGAGCGCCACAGCGTTCTATTCTCTCTCCTCTCCTTTTCAATATGTATGTGAAACCACTGGGTGAGGTCACTTGCTGGTTTGGGGTTCAGTATCATCAGTATGCTGATGATGCCTAATTATATCTTTCGACCCCAGGATGGCCGAGTTAAGCTGTTGAGGTTTTGTTCCAGTGCCTGGAAGCTGTGTGGGTTTGGAATCCAGCAATGTGGGCAGTGATGGGCACGCCTCGGTATGCCCATGTAACATCTCTGCTTTGTGAGATGTACTGGTTGTCAGTTTGCTTCCAGGTGTGATTCAAGGTACTGACTGGCACAGGGCCTGATTACTTGAGGGACTACCCCATCTCCCTTAGTGTCTGCCCAGCCAATTTGATCTAGCAGGGTTGGTGCATTCCAGGTTCCTTCAATTAAAAAATGCCATCTATTGGGACCCCTGAATTGCATCTTCTCTGTAGCACTGCCTGCCCTCTGGAATGAGATTCCCCCTGCAATCAGGATGGCCCCTTTCAAAGGGCCTTGAAGACCTGTCTCTTTGCCCAGGCCTTTGACAAGGATGAGTGAAACCCCCTTTGACTATGTGGGTTTGTTTCTTTTCGTTCTTGTCTGGGTTTTTTTTGTTTTTGTTTTTGTTTTGGTCACCCTTGCCACCTTCACCCTTCATTTTTGTCCACCATTGTATTTTTTTCCTTGTTTTTAACATTTTTATTTGTAACCACCCAAAGTTGTTGGGAGTCAGGGGGAGTTATCAGTTTTAATAATAATAACACCATCTTTTTTTGTGGTAAGCTATTTTATGAGACCATATTGAAACAGGATTAAAAATGATAAAAATATGCTTTCTACAAGATTAACATTATCTTTAAGCATTTGGAACTGTCTCTTTGAAAATGTCCTTTTATATACTAATTATAAATAATGCTTGGATAATTTTAAGAACAGCAATGAGGACTTTTTTGCATTAAATTCACATTGGAGTATAATAAACAGTGGAATTTTCTCTTTGTACATGATAGGGAACAAAAAGTACATTTGTTAATCATTGTAAAAGAATTAAACTGTCTCCCCTGCAATGGAAAACCTGGTTGTTACCAAACAATAATTGCAAAGGAAAGATAATCAAAATATACTTCTATTTCTAGTAATGTAGCTATGTTAATCTGGTTCAAGAAAAACAAATAATCTCATTGAGTCTTAAAGGCTAACAAAATGATTCAGGCATATGCTTTCGTGGACTACTTCCATCACATATTATTAATTAAGCTTATTATCGTAAATCATAAATTATTATCAGTTTTACTCCTTATGGTACCACAAAGATTTAACATTTACCTTGGTATTTAGCTTCTTATGGACTTAGTCACTAAAGCCCCCAATAGCAGTTAGCCAGTTTATGCTTCAGCCTTTACTAGGTTCTGAAATATTCTCATCTCCAACACAGAATATGGGGACTGCCAGGGTGGGAAGAATTACCACTGCCTTTCAGATGTATTGGACTATAATTTCCATGATACCCACATAGCATGAATGCCACTGACTGTGGTGGATGGGGTCAATGGAAGTTGTAGCTCACCACAACTGGAGATAATTGGTTTGGAGAAGACTGTCATATTTCTGAGACCTCTGAATCAATTTCATTCTCTCATTTCCAAGCTTAGAAGGGCAATCGGAATGCAAAATGAGACAATATTCCACCTGCTAAGATATCAGGGCAGCATTTTTACCCTCACCACACTCTTGTAAAGAATTGCCATAGCCTAGTTAGCAAAATGAGTTGGACTATACCAATTTGTGCATCAAACTCCTCATCCATATGGAGGTTGTTTACTCAGAGGAACAACTCAGCTATAATGCAGATTGTTCTCCCTTTATACTTCAAGCCTTTATGGTTAGTTAATGGGATGATATATGTTGTCATCCTACCATCTGTTGTAGGTGGGACTTCAACCCAACTTGGAGGTTTATCTGTCACTACTGGGTGAACTCGGGACAGCTGCCATTGCCAGCTTGCAGGAACCAGAATTTAAAACTAATGGCTGGCTTTGGTTTTACATTTCAATTTCTTCAATCCACATATGGCAGCTGCTGTGAGTTCACATGGCGTACACAGCCTCAGGTAAGGCTACAAAGGTAGTTAAAGAGTAGTGCATAGCAGGGAGAAAGCCAGCAGTGGCAGAGTCCTGCTAATCTACTATGAAGACTTAGCCTGTTATCTGAAGATGGCTTAATGGAGAAGAGGTAGATGTGTAAGGGGAAGCATACTATTCTCAATTACATTACTAGATGCTTATGAAACTAAGCACAAAGAAACCAGAGTAATATGTTCCTTAAATATTTGAAGTCAAACATTTCAAAACATAAGAAATTTAGTGCCTGAATCACTCATCTGTAAGCTAAGAGTGGTTTGGGGGCTGGGTCCCTTCCCATAAATTAGAACAATTTAATAGAAAACTCGATTAGGCAGCTCCCTGTGAAAAACCTTCCATGATCTTAAATGTAACAGGAATGAAGGAATGACACGGCCACACAGCCTGGAAGACCCACACCAGCCATCATATGCTGGCCATGAAAGCCTTCGACAATACATTCCCTGTTTTGTTTCACTCTTATTTCAACTTTGACTCACATCTAGTGCTCAGGCACAGTTGACTCCGTTTTATGAATTCCCCTCCCCACCATGAAAACATATTGGCCTGCAACTACTCCAGTATGTATCTAATTGGCCCCAAGGCTGCAATTCTATCTGCAGCTACAGATAGGTGGGACTTTCTCATGGAGGGTCAGGTGTCAAGAAGCTGCTTAAATCTGTGCCAGGCCTCCTCTTGGTTTAGGGGAAACCTGTTCCCCAGAAAATACGTCTGGAATCAAGTTCAGGAGACAGAGCTTGAAAATATTTCATCCTTGAGGTGCTAAATAAATAACAAGGTTACATGATCTAACTGCATGTGAGCCTCAAGAAAGCACATTAATGTTGTGATTGAAAGCAGATTAGAATTCCCCTTTGTAATAATCTTACAAAGTTCAATCAAACCCACCTTCCAAATGGTCAAAGCCTAGAACAATGTCTGAAAACTTTCCGTCTCTGTCTTTAGTCTCCAAGGAGGTGATTATGCAGCCTAAGGATATGATTTCCACTTTGACTGTGTCGGATCTGAGCAGGAACTTTTCCACGGTCCCTCCACCAAGGGGCCATTCACCAAACGTTTCTCTCTTTACTTCCAGCATTGCTTCTTCCTCTCTAAACTAGCCGTCGTTCAGCAACCAGTGCGGAAGGAGGGGAATCGTGACGGACGTGTGGCAAACGCCTAAAACAAAGGAAGTTTGAGCAAACGGATTCCGCCCACAATCAACTGCCCTTCCGCTGATGTGGAGGGAAAATAAAACTCTCTTTTGTCAGACTTGCAGCCGAATCTGATGCATATTAACTCAGAAGCAAGTTTCCTGAAGGCAGCTCAGCTATTTTCCAAGGACGTTTCTACAAAACTCCACAACCTACGCTCGGTTATTTAGCGCAAACTCGCTTATTCCCAGAGACCTCCTCCAGAGTAAACAGGAAGAGGACAATCCGAGCACTACGTTTCCTCAGTCCCTTTGTTTCTCGCAAAACGTGCACGCCCCTCTCCTAGACGTCCGCGATGCAAAAATCCAGAATTGGAGCAACTAAGTAGCGTACCGCACACGTTCGCGTAGCTAAGAATTCTGCTGTCCTCTGGAGAGCGAGAATGTCAAGAGAATGTCGCGATAAAAACTGAAGAATTGCAAAATGGAACTCGTTCTTTCGGATCGATACGTTGAAGTCTGGTTTATTCAGATGCAAAAGTGGTATTTTGAAAGTAGAATAAAACAGTTATGCATGTTTAGAACGAGGAAGAAGGATATAAATCATATAGTGCAGTTATCAAGACTGCGAAATGAAACAATATTTACATTTTATTATAGTCTCTCTACGTTTAGGGCTGCATTCATCAAGAGTGAAAGGGTTGTTTTAATTTTCTGAATTCCAAAAAATTCAAACAGCCCTTCTGTCTGGTGTTGGGAGATTCCGGAACCTCAGCCAATGCAGTATTTACATTCAGTCATATGATTAAGGAGAAGAAAACTTAGAATAAAATAAGTGTGATGATGATGACATGCTATCAAGTCAGTGTCAACTCTTAGCAACCATATAAATCGATTTTCTCCAGGATATAGATAAATAAAATGAATGTACTTTGTGATAAAATGACCATCTGGCCCATACAGTAGTCAAAGAGTTTTGATCGTAACAGGTCTGCTTTAAATACAGTATACAGAAAACTGGATCCAACTCACTAAATCGAGATGTCATGTTTATTGCTTTTCTGGATGACTCTATGACCAGCTTCCTGAGCAAAGTACAAATCCACTAAAAATATAAGCAATAAAGCAAAATATAAAAGCAAAAATGAAAGAGATAATAATTACTGCTTTTTTAATCTCTTGTGCTTCAGGAATGGATAGATTCAATTCACAGTCACAACAGGTATAGCATTGCTGGAGTTGACATGTCAGGCTGCAGAGTCAAGGGTGGCAAAGAGAAAGAAAATTAAAGTGCCACAGGCTGAGGACTCAGGATCAAACCAAAACCAAACAGGACAGAGATTCATCTGTGGTAAAGAGGGTGAACAATCAGTAGGTCCCATTTTTAGTCCTGTGGTGTTAGATACCAGCTCCCATCATACTTAATCATTGGCTATGTTGGTTGATGTGTTGAAGAGGGAATGACTTAGAACTGGGAAATAGTGTACCCTACCTTAATTATTAGACATCAAGAAATTACTAAGTAGTGTAACAGTAGCATCAATGTGAAGCAACTTATTAGAGAAAGAATCAATGCTTTTTTGTTTATAGCATATAAGTTCTTAATTTTGGTATGATAACTGTAAAAGAATCCAGAGACTAGCTGGTACAAAAGTAACTGGATACAGACAGAATTATTTTCACTCGATTATTTAACTAGTGAAGATTATTAGTTCCAACAGTAAAGTATTAAAGCCACAAAGCCATAATATGTCTGGAACTGTCCATGTGTAGAGTGAGCCTTCACAATCAAAATATATTGAAGTGTACACTATGTACAGGAGCTGACTTCCTTCTAATTTGGACCTAAAAGCCATGCTTACCAAAAAATAATGTCTGTACACAGTGTATTATTTTAATCCTCTGTGAACCTAGAAGTGAAATCCTTTGAGGTCTCCTTCTCTGGAACATGAAAACTAAAACCACTTATTTCTCTTTCCTCTATTTTTTGTCTTTAAATCTATCACTTTTACACAGAGGCTTCTTACTTTCACTAGTAACCAAGCTTTCCATCCCAATGTTTTGCTAGTGCTTCAAATATAGCAGTAGACACATATTATTTCACCTGTGTTTTCTATGTTAGGTTTTCAGAACTAATATATTATCCCACATACTAATAAAACATAATGAACATACTAATAAAAGCTAAGCTCTCCCTTTCTCTACTTGAATTATTCTCTCTCCCCATGTTTTGTATGTTTGTTATGTAGAATAAATTTATAAAGTTTTAGACCTCCCATGTTAATCTACACTAATTCTTCACAATTGCTTGAGTGTTACTTGTTTAGGATATTTTCTCTCCATTTGTAAGATGGATTAAAATATTAAATAAATTGCTCTTATTTGTAAAACTATGCCCCAAATTATAAAATAATCAGTGCATAAAAATGTTTGTGGGCAATACTTCTGTGAAAAGATACTGTAGATTCACATGTATTCATGCAAGTTTATATACATATGGGAACAGCAGAAACCCATCTGTAGCAAGAACAAGTCTGTTTAATCTCACAAAAATCCATTAGGGGTTACTGGATCTTTACTGCTTCATTTTTCTGCTTTGTGAATGCCAGAATCCCAGTGTAATCACTTAGACCTGACCACGGAAGAGGCAATTTTAGTCCAGTTTATACAATAACTATCTGAACACAAAATTTCTGCACTATCATTATTTCAATACATTAAATTCTCTAAAATTAAAATGACAGCCAGTTTTTGTAATGGTTGAACGTATCAAGCTAGAAATCTGGAGACCATGAGTTCTAGTCCTGCCTTTGGCATGAAGCCTGCTGGTGACTTTGGGCCAGTTGCTCTCTCTCGGCTCTAGGAAGGAGGCAAGGGCAAACCACTTCTGAAATCTTGCCAAGAAAACTGCAGCCACTTGCCCAGGCAGTTGCCAGGAGTCAATGCTGACCTGAAGGGACCAAAAAAAAAAAAAGCATTGAACCATGGCTTTGGTATCTGTGCAATAAGCCTCAATGTTGGTCACTGGGAAATGCTGCACTGTGAATAAATTAAGGCAGAATTAAATAGTTTTGTTTTAAAATGATTTTCTACAAAGCTCCAAGGACAGTTTAAAAGAGAGACAATTCTCTCAAATAAAAAGATTTAGTTAGCAACAAGTTTATTTTAAAATACTATAACAAGTGAAAATTTCTGGGTTTTTTCTGCTGGATTCTCTAAGAAATGTTTTGAATTGGAAAATTTAGTTGATATAGTCTTTTGGCTGAACTTGCGTGTAGTTTTACCCATGGGATATAACACTGGGTGTACACATTTACCTGCTTTTTTTTTTTTTTTTTTACTTAACTACTACAGGTAGTCCTCACCTAATGACCACAATTGGGACTGGAATCTCAATTGTTGAACAAAGCAGTCATTAAGCAAGGTGCCCACATGACTGCTTTGCTCAACAACTGCACTCCAGGCACTCCCAGGTGCGGTTTTTAAGCAAGCTCCCTGGTCGTTAAGTGGACGGAGTGAAAGAGCTGCCTGCTGGACGGTTTCAGCTCAGCACGGAGCTGAAATCCTACTGGCAGGCAGCCCTTTCACTCTCAAACATTCCTGCAGCCTACCAAAGTGTTTGCCCTCCCCTTTGTGCATGGAGGGGAGATCCTTCGTGTGGCTGGAGGAATGGAGCTCAAATCTTCAGGATTTGAGCCCCATTCCTACGCACTGCCAAGAGGTTTTCCTCTGTCTCCTCCACTCGCAACCTTCCCTGCTGGCTTCCCCATTGACTTTCGGGAAGCTGGCAGAAAAGATTGCAAATGGCGATCACATGATCACGGGGCACTTGGTAACTGGTCATAAATGTGAGCCAGTTGCCAAGCACCCAAAATGCAGCCATGTGACCATGGGGGGGTGGCGTGATGTTTTATGATGGCCAGAAGTACTTTACAGGCTGCAAAGCACCCTTTCTGAGGCCGTCATAACTCTGAATCATCGTTAAACAAATGGTCATTAAGCGAGGACTACCTGTACACCGAACTGGCTCTCCTACCTGCTTATTGTGGAAAGGAGAGTTCTGAGAATGAAGCCAGGCCTTTTATGGTGATGCAACTCTTAGGCTTGGTTCTTCCTCTGTACAAACTGAGGTATACTAATTGGTTGTACACCATTTGTAAATCACGCAAGTGGAGCAGCATATCTATCTCTTGAAGATTTGCCCAATTTGTCACATATTTACTTTTGCTGTAAAATCAAGTATAGCATGTTTAATCAAATGAGGGGGAGAAGGGAGATGTCTGCATCTCACTGGATATGAAACCTCTCCCAAAACCACTTCAGCTCTGTTAAAAATGATTGCCTATCTCTATTCTTATATGACATTTGTTATACAAATGGGAACGCAGCATGTTACAATCTTTTTAAAATTCTCCTTGTTGTGTAGCAACAGAGAAAGTGTCCCTTCGCATAAATTAATGTACTTTGAAGAACTGTATTTGCTTTTTCAAGATGGTCACATGGCCACATTTTGGGTGCTTGGCAACTGGCTTACATTTATGACCAGTTGCCAAGCGTCCCGTGATCATGTGATCGCCATTTGCAATCTTCTCTGCCAGCTTCCTGAAAGTCAATGGGGAAGCTGGCAGGGACGGTTGCAAGTGGAAGGGATAGAGGAAGACCTCTCGGCGGTGTGCAAGAAAATGTGGAAAATGGCTTGTGGCAGATCTGCCTCATACATTAAGCATTCAGCAAATAATTTAAAAAATGTAATTGCTGTATTGTGTTTGCCTGTTGACTTGCGGCCTATTAGCAGCAGCTGAAACTAAAAGCAGTTTTGCTGACCAGCATCTTTACTGTGTTATTTTAGATTTTAGAATGTGATACAGAATTTGTGCAGATTTTCTAACTCCTGAAAACCATTCTCATCTAGTTCTCTGATTCATTCCAAAAGGAGTCTCAGCAGGTTGCTCTTGATCTAAGGAGATAATAGATGCACTTGTTCATGCTGATTTTTTCTCCGTATATGGACATCTTTCAGAGCTCCGAAATTAAAAACCTGCAATAGAATTGAAGTATTGTGGCAATCTGCATATTTGGCAAAAACCCTGTATTATTGCAGACTGATACTGTACTTTTTAAATACTCCCTTGCATGAAAAAACTCAGTAGCATTTAAAGAAGACATAGCTAAAAAAGCTAATAATATTTTGTAGAAGAAGAGTGTGGTTCACTTTCTCTGTCTTTTGTG